GGACGGAGCTCGGAACCTGCGCTCGGGGCGCGAGCCGCGGCAGAGGACCTCTGGGCGAGCGGAGGGAGGGCATCAGGTGGAGCGAGCCGGCCGGAGCCAGAAGAAGAAAGTACCTGAGCGTTGCTTTCCCTTTTTGCTTTCCTTCAGCCAGTGAGCTCTACTTTTACCCTCATTGCAAAAGACGAAAGGGAGGTAAAGACGACTTCTGTTTGATTAAGGGGAAAGAGAAGGGGAATCAGGCGATCATTTTGATCGCTCTGCGTAAAGCCATTGCCGCTGGGGACGCGGAGCAGAAGCTGCTGGGCTCTGAAAATCTGCCACCCTGAATTTTCAGAATTCCAGAGAGAGTCGCTGGTCCAGTTCTATTTTTATATTTAAACCTATATGTCTCTTAGTTTCCCTTTTAAGCACTTTCTTGTTAGTAAGCACGAGGGACAAGAGAGTGCCCATACATAGGGCGTGGGAGCATTTTCAATTTCCTTTTTTTTTAAGAAAAAAATCTGTGCGTGTCATTTTAAAGGATAGGTGTGGTCTTTATTTCAGAAAAGGTCATTTTCATTTGCAGGCTCTCTCTGCCTACATTTACACGCGCGCACACAGGCAGGCACACACTCTTTTAGAAAGATACATTTTGGAGCTTGGAATCCCACCCAGAAAGATGGAAGAAGGAGCCAGACAACGGAACATCGCTGAGAAGAGCCGCCCAGGTGGGCCTGAGTCAGATGCCAACTCTGGCTCAGGAGGAGACGGAGTAGCCCTGAAGAAAGAGATCGGATTGGTCAGTGCTTGTGGAATCATTGTAGGTGAGTTCAGTTCCTCCCCAGTCCCACCGTGTTGTGCGCCCGCTAAGGAAGTCTTGATACGTCTCAAACACTGTTTTTTGCTACCTGTCTCATTTTGGACCACTAGCCTGCCTGTGGGTTCCGTTTGAGAGGTACAGGAGCAGACAGACCAGGGATATATGACCCGGATGTCTCCTCTAAGCCAGTGGTTCTCAACCTTCCTCATGTGGTGGTGACCCCCCCAACCATAAAATGATTTTCGTTGCTACTTCATCACTGTAATTTTGCTACTGCGATGAATCGGATGACCCCTGTGAAAGGGTCCTTTGACCCCGCTAAAGGGATCACGAGCCACAGGTTGAGAACTGCTGTTCTAAGCCAACCTGGACAGCTCTGTGCAGTTCATCGGCTGAAAGAGAGAGGGGTCACAAGTCTGGCTGACAGCCAGCCTTTTCTGGGAGCTTGCGCAAACATCGGGCTCTGGGTGCCACACTGGAAGGCCCTGATTCAGCAGGCTTGAGGAGGGGCTGGTGAGCCTGCGTTTTTCATAAGCTCCTATGCACCCATCTCCTCGGCAGTCTGCGGACTGGCTTGTGAGGCGTCTTTTAGTAGGAACTTGCTGCCTGGTGTTCTGTGTGAAACTATCCGAGCAGGATGCCTTGCGTGTGTCTAGCTTGTTCCGTGTTACAGCACGTTCACCTCGTGAAGTAGCGGTGACAAGATGGTTCCCCCCACTTCACAGATGAGAGAATTACGGGAGAAAAAGAAGTGATTGATTCTGCCTTTTGGTCAATATGCCATGTATAGGGGTGCCTTGTGGAGTGACCCTGTGTCAGGAAGGCTCACCGAAATCCCTGGAGTGTTCTCAAGGACCATTGGAAGTAGCTAAGATATGGAGCCAAGGGGGCGCTGATCAGTAAAATGTGTGTGCTGGCGGGGAGGCTCTGAAACTGGGCTGCTTCGTGTCCCCCAAAGTGCCAGTACAGGGCACTCCAGGCTGTACCACACTCTGCCAAATTGCCGTTGGGTGTTCTGACCCCTTGTTACCCCATGGGCTTCAGGGTAGGACTGCTTCACAGGGTTAGCTTGGCTGTCTTTCTTATGGAAGCACTTCTCCAGCCTTTTCTTCCACAGAGCTTCCAGGTGGATTCAAACCACCAACCTTTAGATTAGGAGTTGATTGCAAATGACTTGTGCCCTCCCCATCCACCCCCAGCCCTCATTCCACTCTATAGGGCAGAGGGGTTCGTCATGCACCCCCACCTCTAGACCACACAGCCCCTTCTGTCCAAAAAGGCCCTGGAGATGGGTGGTAGGTCACGGCTCAGTCTAGAAGAGGTGGCCAGCACAGTCAGTTTCGGGGGTGCAGGACTGTCAGGCCCAGATATATGTTTTTGTGTCATCTCTCCAGGCTGATTGTGTCATGGTTCCCATGGGCCATTTCTCTGGAGAGCTTCATGTTCCAGGCAGTCGGAGCACAGGGACTGTTTGACCCCAGAGCAAGGCTGACACTGGAGAACACGCTTGACATAAGACAGAGGCAGCCCAGCATTCTGATCAGCCTTTGCACCTGCACCCCCAGACTTCAGGAATCATGCTGCCGCCACGCTCTTTTCAAAATGAAAACCCATTTTATCTAATCCTCTGACTCTGAGAGGCTTTCCAGAAGTCCTGGGGGCCTAGTGGGTTACGAGTTGGGCTGTTAACCGCAAGGTCAGCAATTCAAAACCACCAGGAAGGCCGAGGGAGCAAGGGGAGGCTTTCTGCTCCCGTAAAGAGCTCAGGAATGACAGGAGAAACTGACTAGAAAATCAAGTTCAGACCACGGGAGGGGGACATCTGCATTTCAGAGGAGCCACTGATATTTCTGTTGGTGGGTGGGGTGGGTGAGTGGGGAGGAGCAGCCTCACATCAGGGAGGGATGCCAAGCAATAATTGTAGAATCTCAGGGGAGAATAAGTCTGGTTCTATGTTCTTGAGGATACGCGCTTCACAGATGTTTCTACCCAACCCTTGGTGAGCCGCGCCATGGACTAAGCGCGATGATGACCTTAGACGCTGGCCTTACAGGGAACACGGCATCCTCCAAGGGCCACCCCAGATGGACTTGGCGTGGAAGCCAGCCTGAATGAAGTGGGTGGGCCCCACTGAAAACTACCTGTACCCTTGCACTGTAGAATATGTGCTGCCGAAGCAAGCACTAGACCTTTGGACTTAGGACTGAAGTACTCTGATAGGAATGGAAGCAAAAGAGAGCCACCCAAGACTGGAAATGGCATGGTGGTCATTGGACCTTGGGTGGGACCCCTGGCTTAGTGGATGTCCAATGAAAGGGGACCCAGAACCACCATTTTTTCAGGAGCTCAAGGCTCCCCTTGCATTAATAGGACAGGTTTTAATCTGTTGGTAAGAAATGATACAGGACATTTTCCCCTAGCACCAACCTCCATGTTCAGTGTAAACAACTCAATCAACGAAATCAATCTGTACAAAGCAATAACTCATGGATTGTAGCTTAAGTTGGACTATACTCGAATAAACTCCTCATATCAACAGTATCTCAAATTCTATGTCATCGGATACATTATTGATGTTATCAGTATAATCACCTTATAAACCAGGGGGATGATTGACAATGTTTTTTCTCTTTTGTTTCTTTGGGTTTTGGGGTTTTTTTTCCCTGCCTTTTTTGTTTCTTGTTGGTTTGGGGTTTTGTCATAATATGACCTCCAAAGTGAACCAGAGTTGTTCATGTCCTAGGGACAAGCAGATGGATTCTGGGCTCCCATTTCAGTCTATCCCCAAGCCAAGAACAGTTAGTCCTTTTAACATGGCCCTGCTAGATACCTTCTTGAAGAGTTCACTGAAGATAAGGTGCTACAGCAAAATGTGTTGAAGAAAGCAGATGGTGCCCGGCTCTCAGTTGGAATCGTGTCTAGAGCAGGGCTCCTCAAACTATGGCCCCGCGGGCCACATGTGCACGCAGCCCCCGCCCCCGGGGATATTTATCCAGGCCACCAGATGTTTTTGCCCTGTTTTGTTTTTTTACTTCAAAATAAGATATGTGAAGAAAGCAGATGGTGCCCGGCTCTCAGTTGGAATCGTGTCTAGAGCAGGGATCCTCAAACTATGGCCCCGTGGGCCACATGTGCACGCAGCCCCCGCCCCCGGGGATATTTATCCAGGCCACCAGGTGTTTTTGCCCTGTTTTGTTTTTTTACTTCAAAATAAGATATGTGCAGTGTGCATAGGAATTTGTTC